TGAGAAAGGTATGACAGTCCTCCGATCAGTTCACGGTATGGAAACCGCTCATTGGAATTTCCATTTTTCCTTACACTCAGGTCAAGATTGGTTTCCATTGGAGTCGAGACACATTTTGCATCCTGTAGTCTGAAACGTTGAAGCAGTTCTTCTATGTAGTTACTTTGAGAAAGAGTCATACTTCCATCTTCTGACTTCTTGAAGGATACTCCAAGCATATGAGAAATTGGTCCTAGATACTTCACTTCAAAACTGGAATTTAAGAGTTCTCTGCATTTGTTTCTCGCTGCTTGATTCTCTGAAATGGCAAAGATGTCATCCACATAGATTGAGAGAATGATCCTTCCTTCTTCAAGTTCAACTTCGTAGATGCTCGGATCAATTGGGTTACGTTGGAATCCTATTTCGTGAAGTTGTTTGTTTAAGAATTTATCCCAGCATCTTACGCTCTGTTTTAATCCATAGATTGATTTCTTAAGCTTGCAGAACAAGTTTTCTTCTCCTGGTTTCTTGAAGCATTCAGGTTGTTCCATGTAAATAGTCTCATTGAGTGTCCCATGAAGATAAGCACTCTTCACGTCGAATTGGTCAATGAACCAGTCCTTTTCTGTTGCTATCGCCGTTAATAGCCTTATAGTTTCAAAACTGGAAACAGGAGTATAGACTTCGTTGTAGTCAATTCCTCTACGTTGAGTGAAGCCTTTGGCGACTAGACGTGCTTTGTATCTAGTGGTACCATCCACTGCATTGATTTTCTTATTTAGTACCCATCTACATTTTAAAGGTTTGATACCTTTCGGCAATTCCTGCAGTTGCCATACATCATGTCTTTCGAGCGATTCCCTTTCTTCTTCAATGGCTTCTATCCAATTAGCTACCTCAGGGCTGTTCATGGCTTCTTCATAAGTGGGGTTATTGTCCTCTGCACTTGTGGCATTTATCTGTCCACCACTATTATCCTCTTCCGGAGATTCTGCCGTCTTTCCATGACTTCGGAGTGTCATAGGATGGCTTCTCAGGTTCTCTGGGAGAGTCTCAGATAGCTGATCTATTTCACCTGTAGTTCCAATCAGTTCTTCAGTTTCTCGGTCTACTGGTTGATCTGCATTACTTTCTTCTTGAAAGGAGGCCTCTTTCGAGGAGAAATGGACAGATGGTAGAGTATCCCTTTCTCTTTTGGGCTGTTTATAGAGGATTTCTTCTTTGAATACACAATTTCTAGATTCCACCACTTGGCGTTTTTCAGGAATCCAGATTCTCTAACCTCGTCCCTGTAGAGAATAACCCACGAGAATTCCTTTAGTGGCTCTTGGCTGAAGCTTCGAATTCCTTCTTTGTTTTGGAACATGAACAAAGGTTTCGCAGCCGATTGCTCTCAGATGTTGCAGAGGAGGTCTTTTTCCAAACCACAATTCAAAAGGCGTTTTCTCTTCATTGTGTCTGTTTGTAACACGATTTCTCAAGTATGCTGCTGTGTTAGTGAGCTCTGCCCAAGAGGCGGTTGGCAGATTGCAACTGTTCACAGTACTCCTCACTAAGTTCAGCAAAGTCCTATTCATGCGTTCGGCGACACCATTCTGTTCAGGTGTGTAGACCATGGTGCGTTCATGTACTATACCATGGGCCTTCGTGAAAATATCCCAAGGAGATGAACAGAACTCTAGTTCGTTATCTGTACGGATCCTCTTGAGAGGAAATCCCGTCTGATTTTCAGCTTCTTTCATCCATTCCTTGAATATTTCTAGAGTATCGTCCTTCCTTTTGAGGAAATATACCCTTGTATATCTTGATGCGTCATCAATGATGGTCAAGACAAATCTTGATCCACCCCAGCTCTCAATGTTGAACGGTCCCATTAGATCACAGTGAACAAGGGCTAGTGTCTGAGTTTCCTTGGTAGATCTCAAATTCAGGAAAGGTCTTTTTGTCGATTTTCCAATCATACAATCAGAGCACTTATCAGGTTTTCCAGCCTGACAGTTCAAACCAATGACAACTTCTCTTTTCATTATGTCTACTATGGTGTCATAGTTGATATGCATGAGTCTCTGATGCCATAAATTTAGTGGGAATTTACGAAAATTGTTGGTTTGAGCAATGGAATTTGAACATTCTCCTGATTCTGGAAATCTGGACGGAGCAGTCCTGACGAGATAGAGCCTTCCTCTCTTCTCTGCTCTGATCATCAAGTTATGATCATTGTCGTAGATATGACATCCCTTCTTGTCGAAGATAACCTCATGACCATTTTCCACAATTTGTAGAACAGAGAGTACACCATGTCTGATCCCAGGTACGAACATTGCATTCTGAGCAACTATGCTTCTAAGTTGTCCAGAATTGTTGATCAGATCTACTTGAGCATTACCTCTTCCTATGTTTGAATGTGATGTACCATCAATTATGGTCACTTGTCCTACATTCTCGTCATTCAACGTGGAAAAATACCTTCTGTTCGGAGTCATATGATGCGTGGCACCTGAGTCAATTACCCACGTATCCTCTTCTGATACAACTGCTGCATTATACATCTCATTCAAGTTCTTTGCTTCGTGATGTTGATGTATCGCTCCCTTTTCCTGTTGTTTACCGTTATTCTTTTTCAGTTTGAAACAGTCCCGTGCAATATGCCCTGTTTTCCCACATCCGAAACATTTTCTATCAGTTTTAGAACCTTGATGTTCATGAGGGAATTGTTTCTTGTTAGAGTTCCTGACTGACAGTGCACCCATCCCTTCATTTGTTGTAGCATACCGGCGCTCTGCCTCAGCTAACAATTTACGTCTGATGTTGGCACTGGTGAACTCTGACTCTGGTAAGTTACACATTGTTGATATAACATTATCCCAGTCCTCGGGCATTCCACAAAGAATTAGCATGCTTAGATCACCGTCTTCAATTTTATCCCCTACACCTGTGAGTTCACTCACTATTAGATTTATGCTTCCCAAATAGGCATCCATGTTCGCATGTTGACAGAATATCTGGGAGTACAACTTTCGACGCAGTTGGAGAATTCTGTGTTTGCTATCCCTTGGTGCATAAAGTCTTTGTAATTCATCCCAAACTTCTTTGGGGGAATTTAGATGTCTGATATGGTTCTGCTTCTCCTCACCAATAGAGAGACATATCTTTGCTAAATCCTTATTCTGCCTCGTATTAAATTTGTTGATTAGACCAACATCCCCTCCCTCGGGTTTGACTTCGCCTGGGTCAACAATTGACCATAAGTCATTGTCCATCAGAATGAGCTTAATTTGGAAGCTCCATGAGGAATAGTTTAATCCATTTAGATTGGTAATTTTCGTTAAACTTTCGTTAGCTTCCATTATAAGATGGCGTCCACTGAAGGGGGGGAGAGAGAACAAAAAATAGGCTTACCGTTCAATGCTTCAGGCAGCTCCAATCAGTCTCATAATCTTTTCTTGTAGGGGTGTAGACAAGGTACTTGGTTACACTTAGGACAAGAGCCTTGTACTAACTAATTTATTAAAGCATAGGTTATATATAAAGATTAAAAGGGAAAGAAAGGAAACAAAGAGGTTACATCCTCCGTAGAAGGTAAACAAGCAACAGCGTCGTTAGGCTAAACTTTTTACAGTCAGTTGGGGGGGGGGGGGGGGTGCCGACGTCATCCTTCCGGTCACGTGTTATACTTGAGTGGCGGCGCTGGTGTCCAACAAAAACCATTTCTAAGATTCCATCCTTCAGTGTAGCATATAAAAGCAGAATGATCCAATACAATATTAGAGCTCTGAGAAGCGGTCTGGTGGATTAAATTGGCGAAACCGCTGGGAGGGTTCACCACTGATGAGCCAAGCCCTCCCAATATATTTTTTCATCGCAGTAAGGACAGTAGTAGTTCGTTTTATGTATAAAAGAAACATTCGCGCTTTTAAATCCTTTTATTTTAGATGTATAGATGACGCGTTATTGCTTTGTGTTAATTTATATACATACTATGTTGATACAAGATTAAATAAGTGAGTTCCCGCAAGTTTTTAAAGTAATAATTTTATAGGGATCTTCTGTATCTTGCCCTTTTTCAAACAATAGTTTGATAACATTTATATGCCCTGGTCTAACGGTTGTAATCTTGATGTCGTATTGGGCGGGAAAAAAATTACGTGGTCTAATGTTGGTGGGTTATTATGCACGGTGCAGTTGACCAAAAACAGCAAGATTTTACCGTTTTGATTCTTCATGTCACTGTAAACTGAGGTCAGCCATTCATTAAAAAGTTTCTCTACCTGCTCCACGAACTCTTTGGCTGAGTATTCTTTACACTATCTTCCGAGTATTCAATACAACAATTGGCCTGTGAGACTAAAGTAGCTTAAAGATATCTTACTACTAATGAGTCAGGTCCATCGCTAAATTATTTTCTACCATTCAGTGATTATACAAATTAGTCTGATATCATTTGTTGTGTGTGATTGCACAAAACTACTTTATACTCTAACCAACAGGTCGAAAGCATCAAATCTCTAAAAAAATAAACTTTTAACTTTAACGAAAACTTGAAAACGTTATCTTTAAAAAGGCTTGTGAAACAACGAAATAAAAAAGAACCAAAGACAAAAGAATATTATATCAACTGAGTTAAAACGACGATAAGAAAATTTCGTATTAGAACAAAACAGGATAAAAAGACAACAATTATCTGTCCTCCCAAGAAAACAACAGTCTTTGATTTTCAGACTTAAGTCTGGTCATCTACGGACAATGACTTTCCAGAATGGTTGCAAGGTTGTCCCACTATGTACTAAGTGCATTTCTCAACCTTCAACCCCAAAACACATTATTGACTGTATTGACTCATCCATTGATGAGCTCTACTCTTCCCCGGCAGACACCATCAAAAGTCTCAAGCTTTACAAGCTTGACACCCTAATATGATTGAGTGGAGATAATAAAGAAGAAGAAGAAAAAGATAAAAGAGAGAATATGGTTTTACGGGCTACTAACCAAAGTGTATGATTTTTAAGCCCAAAGGTAATAGCCTACAGCACCTGGTGTTCCCAGGTGGTCACCCTCCCAAGTACTGACCGGGCCTGACATTGACTTAACTTCGGTGATCGGACGAGCATTGATGTTTCCAATGTGGTATGGCCATAGGCAACGATAGAAATACCTTTCCAAACTTAAGAGCAAGTCATCCGAGGACCGACTCCACCAGTTGTAGAGTAGGAAATGATAGATGACTCAAAGTCGGAGAACAAAAAGTTTATTGTAACTCCGAAGAAATACGAAAGATAACTCAATCATAAAAAGAACGAGGTTTCAATTTGCCTATTCTTTTATAATGGCAATCATTTACATACTCCTTATTTATATCTCACAATATTGTAGCGAAAAATTTATTACTTTATTAACAGAGTATTATTTTTTATTTTTATATATTTTGCTACTCTGTGAACTTCCCTCATTGCTTATCTTTTGTTTATCTTTCAAAATTTGTTCTTGCCTTAAATAAATTGCTGTTCCATCCCGAAGTTGGTCTTCCCTAATTTTCCACGTAGCAATATAATAGAATTACAAATGTAAGGAACCTTTGCAAATAAGCTATCACTCTAAATAGGATGACCATAGTTATTATTTTTGAAGGGCGTCTGAAAAAATCTATTTTAGAATTGAACTTTATTAAGAAATACTTTAAATTAACAAATTAAAAAAGTAATTCAAAATATATATATTCATAAATATATATATTTCTAAGAAATTGTTAAAATATATAAATATATACAGTTTTTTCCAATTCTAAATTCAGAAATCCATCTATATTCTAGCCATAGATTTGGCCAGCAAAACACCTCTTTGGCAGATTGTGAAGATTCCATTAGATCTCGTGTGGATCTCATGGAATAAAGTCCGCCCTAGACTCACGAGGGCCATTAGCCCGAAACCATGGTCTCTAGGTGGACGCTTCTCAGTTTGCCAAAGCTAGTGTTGTGGCTTTGTCAACGACCCGAGGCCGCTAGTTGCGGCGACGGTCAATAGGTGGCGTCAGTTTTTGACGTATATTTTGACGGGAGAGGCGCCCTATGCTTCTATAGAGTTCATTATATTTCAAATTATGTTTGGGCGAAAGAAGAGAAAAGAGCGATCATTCATAGACCGTACTTTACTATGGGGGTCGGTGGAAGGATGGTCTTAACCGTTGGTTTTCGACCGCTACGACCCAGGATCGAATCCCGCATTGGACACTTCTTTCTAATTAAAAAAAAATGCTCCAATGGCCCCCTATTCTTGAAAAGCCTAACCAGCGAGTGCAAGTAACCAAACAGTGTTCTAGCACATTTGTAAGTGTAAAAGTCGAACTGATGTCTACATGTGTAGACATGTTGTGTACTTACAATAAAAGCAGTCGCCAACTTCTACCCGTCATTATTATTATGGCCTTTACCACGTGTACTATAGGGATAATTTGTATGTAAAAATAGTGTATATCATCAATTTTATTATCGTGATACTCCTGTTGAAGGACTGACAAGTCCGAAAGCTTTAAAATAAAAAAGTTGAACAAGAAACTTAGCCCTGGAAGCTTTATTTATTTTATAATTCTATAGGGATAAATTTTTAAAAAAACTTTACTAACCTTAAGAAAATTTCTAAACAGGTTGATATAAAAAATCCTCCCACTGATTGACATATTCTCTGAAATACCTTCTCATAGTATTAAGAGAAATTAACAATAAAATATGGAGATGAGATTCTAATGTGACTTCAGAACAAAGGATGGTTACAGCTAGAAGCCGATCTGTAGCAAAAGCATTCAGCAAGGGAATTTTCAGTTTTTCATATTTGTGAGAGAGGTAGCAAAAATAACGAGATTAATTTTTCATAGAAAACAGGTTTTAAAAAAGACTAAAGAAATTTAGTGAAATAGAATACAGTTTCTTAATGACACGTAGTAGTGTCATACGTGTTATTTAAAAAATTCGAATCCTTTATGGTAAATAATTTATTAATACAAAACAATAACGCGCCATCTATATGTTTATTTTCACAAATAAATCAAAATTCCACTGTCCTTACTGCGATGAAAAAATATATTGGGAGGGCTTGGCTCATCAGTGGTTAACATTCGCCAAGGGTTTCGCTAATTTAATCTACCAGACTGCTTCTTTAGAGCTCTAATACTGTATTAGATCATTCTGCTTATGTATGTTACACTGAAAGGTGGAATCTTATAAATGGTATTTAAGCAAACTATGAACATAAGCTTTTAGGACAGTAGAATTACATATAAATATTTGTATCGAGCAATGCTCTTCCACAAACAATAAGAACAAGTTAGGCATAAATTAATACAAAAACAATAACGGGCCATCTATATATAACAAATGAAGATATTAAGAGGCGAATGTTTCTTTTCACAAATAAATCAAACATCTACTGTCCTTACTGCGATGAAAAAAATAATGGGAGGGCTTTGCTCAATATTTTTTCATCGCATTAAGGACAATAGAAGTTTGATTTATTTGTGAAAAGAAACATTCGCCTTTTAATGTATTCATTCGTTAAATAATTTGAGCAAAGAAATATTTTATAAAATAAATAAAGCTTCCAGAGTTAAGTGTCTTGTGCAACTTTTTATTTTCAAGCTTTCGAACTTGCCAGTCCTTCAACAGGATTATCACATTAACAACTTAATAATGAATACAATTTTTATATACAAATTATTATATACATATTTTAAATACTTATTATACACTGGTGTCCAAAAAATAAGAAACTTAACCAATCCAGGGGTAGTAAACCCCACTCCTCCAATAGAGCAGTTCTTAGCTCAACGAGGGTTCTGGGAGAGGGGTGACGAACTCCAATACGCCTCCCTAGAGCATCCCACACATGCTCTATTGGATTCAGGTCCGGAGATCTGGCTGGCCAATCTCACTCTGGAGATATTCATTGACTAGCCTAGCCCTATGCGGACGAGCATTATCGTCCATAAAAATTAAATTGTGACCAATTTGATCTCTATAAGGTCTTAGATAGGGCTCAAGGAGCTCGTCCCTGTACCTTTGGGCAGTTAAAGTGCCCCCAGAAAAAATGTGGAGGGGTGTGCGTCTGCTAGAACTGATGCCAGCCCAGACTAAGAGACTGCCCCCTCTAAAACTGTCTATTTCCCTGATGTTACTGGGATGATAGCGGGTTCCAGGCTCCCTCCAGATGAAAACTCGTCGATAATCTGTGTTTAAACTAAATCTTGACTCGTCACTGAAGAGAACATTGGCCCACTGATCATGAGTCCAGGCGTGATGTTCCAAGCACCAATTCAAGCGGGCTCTCCTGTGAGCAGAGGTTAAAGGGATACAGACCATTGGTCGTCTTGCATAAAGAGCACCTTCGTGAAGCCTTCGGTAAACAGTTTGTCTTGAAATTCTCGTTCCAGTAGCACTTGAGAGTTCATTAGAGAGTTGAATAGCTGTCATCTCCCTATGGCGCTTGGCAGTTACGACCAGATAACGGTCTTCAGAGGTAGCTGTTTTTCTTTTTCTACCAGAATCTTCTTTTCTTTTGATGGTTCCTGTCTCAATGAACTGTTTCCATATTTTTCTGACCATAGATTTATTCACATTTAGCCATTTTGCTACTTCAACTTGTGATTGCCCTGCCTCCATTCTTCCAACAGCTCTCCATTTTAAATCATCTGCTAATTTTTTTCGTAAACTCATAATTAACTAAGGATTAAATAAAATTATAATTGGACAATTCTTAGATGGAGCAAACGACACGCCAAATAGCACACTTATAAAGACAAGCAAAAATTTGCATATTTTCAATTTTACCGAATCGAATGGTTGCGATAAATAAATTCTACGACTTAAAATAGCTAATTAAATTACTTTTTAGCTTTTAGCGTTGTATATTTTAAAACATATCATTAAAAAACAAAAGTTTTTTTTGGACACCAGTGTATATTGAGAGAAAAATATATTACATTATTTCTGTTTGTAAAACAAAAATTGAAAATATACGTGCGTGGTGAATGATACGTGCTGGTTGAATGATATCTCGAGACTTAAAAAAGTTAAAGATAAGAAATGGATCAAGATGCTAAAATTGAAGGACAGAGTCTTTTGGTTGAGCTAGTAAATGTCGCTAATGGCACACTGACTTCTCTCGATTGAAATAAAACGTTTATTCTTTATTCACAGAGAAAATTGGCTAATACTCTTTTTTGAATTGCCAAGAACAACTGTTGTGTCGTTGTGTCTCTTCCTTTACCCACGACTACATAGGAAAATATAACTTTTATTGCCAACACAAGATAAGGTACAAGTCTAACTTAACGTTCTACTGGACTGTCGCTCTAAAACAACAACAATATTTGTATGTTACAAAAGCACAATTAATTACTAAGCACCACATGTCTACACATGTAGAGGGCAGTTCGACTTTTGCACTTACAAATGTGTCCCGAGCACTGTTTAGCTACTTGCACTCGCTGGGTTGGGCTTTTTCAAGAATTGGGGGGCCATTGGAGCATTCTTTTTTTTTATTATTAGAAAGAAGTGTCCAATTCGAGATTCGATCCTGGGTCGTATCTGTTGAAAACCAACGGTTCAGACCATCCTTCCACCGACCCTCATAGTAAAATAGCATAACAAACAACTATGCAAAATACAAGAAACATATGATATTACACAACAACAATCAACCACCTTCACGTTAGCTGACCCTCGTCGTTGAAATCGTCAAAGTTTCTTTTTAACTCAAGTCTGTACTACCCTGACGAGGGTCAGCAACACGAAACGCGTAAGGCGTTTAGTGAAATAAAAATCAACTAAACCTTGATTTAACTTGTTCCATGATATTTGGCTAATCCGGTCTTTTGATAAATCAAGAAAATCTAACCACGAACTGCCATTTAAAATGATCGTGTGAGCGGTCAGGATATGACTTTTTTTTGTTGGTGTTGTTTTTAATATCAACGCCTTACTTTTTTCGCTATCTTTTCTTATTTTTTTCACACACACAAAAACTCAGGTGTTGATATTAAAATCAAAAAAAGCATATCCTGACCAAGAGCACATGAGCCTTTTAGATAGCAGAGCGCCATCTAGTGGAGCAGAAATCAGCTAAACGTTGATTTAGCCATATACGAGT